TGATGGGCCTTGGTCCCATTCAGAGGCCTATGGAGTGCTTCAGCTCTGTGCTTTAGATCACTTGACTGTGGTTCTAAGGAGCCTGCTTCTAACTGTTCTCCTCATGCCAGGAGCAGTTTGTAAGTGATTTTTCTACCTCTTGTGAAGAAGGGATCTTCTGGCATATATGTTGGATTAGAAAGGATGATGCAAAACAGAAGGCATTCACCCACACATTGTATAAAATACAAGTGCTGAAGTATGGTATTGACCTGGAGTTTTCAGTGCCCTGTATGGAGGTCTGAAGCCATGTGATTGCTCACATGGCTTTCTCTGTAGTCGGATTCTAGAATCCTTGCCATGGCCGTTAGGAACAAGGATTGGATTAATGGTTCCAAAAATCCCTAGGAGCCTTGAGACAAGGTAGCTTGTAAGGATAGCTTGGGGACTAGTGATGATGTTATTCTCGATGTCCAGTTACTAGAAGGAATTTTTTTTCACATTTTATTATTTTTTTAAAGATTTTATTTATTTATTCATGAGAGACACAGAGAGAGAGAGGCAGAGACTTAGGCAGAGGGAGAAGCAGGCTCCATGCAGGGAGCTAGCTCCATGTGGGACTCGATCCAGGACTGCAGGATCAAGCCCTGAGCCACAGGCAGGTGCTAAACCGCTGAGCCACCCAGGTATCCCAGTTTTTTTGACTTTTAAAGACAGAATTTCTTTGTCTTGAAGGCTTTTTTGGGAGAACCTTAGCTTTGTCATTTTTGTTCAGTTTTTAGTCACTTTGGATTTCTTTATACTTGGAATTTAAATGTAGAGCTTTATAAATTTTTTTAAAGAAAGGATTCTTGGTTTGGGGATTATCAATATGCACGTTCTAAATTCAGAATGTTTGGAAAACTAGATTTGGATGGCATGGATAGATGATGCTTGGTGTCTAAGCCTTCCTTAGTGGCTTATGACGATTACTAGCTGATGAATAGAAGAGTGGGAAACATTGGACCCTGGCTAAATAATTTTGACTTGATATTTCTTTTTATTTTTATTAGCCCTTGACTCAGGATAACCTGAAGTGAAGTAGTCACTATATAAGATGCAGTTTGTCATAGGATGAATAAAAGCATTGAAATTCATATATAATGAAACTGATATTTGCACATGAAGTATAGGAATTTGAGCTGTTTCCAGACAGTTTGTGATAGAACCCTCTTAGAAAATGCTTGCTTACGTTATACTTAATGCATATTGAAGATGGTCTGGGTTCATATATTAACTAGTTGTAAATTGAGTGCAGAAGAGCCTAGCATTTGAGAGTCTTGGATTCAGATCCTGACCACTACTTTCCTACCTGCTTTTTTGATTTGAGGGCGCTGACTGACCTTGCCCAGTTTTAAAAATCATATTATTCATAATAAATAAAAGGCTAAAATTAAATAGTGAAACCACCACATAGCTGACAGGTAAGAATGGGAGGAGTCTTGCCTATCTTGGTATCATCTGTGAAACATTTATGTATTGTAAGCATTCAGTAATAATACTTTAAAGTAAAAATCTCGAGTTCCTAACTCCCTGTACTCCCAGTGATACCATGCTATTCATCTGCTTTAGCGGATTTTGAAATGCAACCCCTTTGTGGCAAATACCTCCTTTCGTATTATCTTGCTTAGATTAATAGTAAAATTTGGTTACTACAGACATGTTCTAATTGATGAGTGAGTGGTGCATTTCCTAATAAAGCCACTAAGCAAATTAGGAAGTTTATGGAGGAGAGGTCATTTAGGGATAAACTATTGTCTGACTTTAGTCAATTTATGGGTGGTAGAAACTAGCCGTGATTTACTCTGGGGGGTAGATCAAGTGAAAGACCCGTTCAGTGGATGGACCGTCTGATGTGATGTTGATGATAATAATGCCTTTGGTTAAATACATAAAACCACTGTGTTTGTCATTCATTCATTTAGCAAACTTTTGAGTGCCTACCATGTGCTTAGGAGTAAGCGCTTAGAGGCCAGTCTGGCAGACAGCTAAGCAGGAAAGTGGAAGGGTAGGCTTTTTACTTTATCTGGTGACCCAACTCCAGCAGGCACTGCTGTGCCTGAGTGACCTTCACAGGACAATAAACAGTCTATCTGAAGTGATAGCTAATCTGAAGGTTTTAGAGGGAAGACATTCACTTATATATGAAAGTGCATACATAAAAAAGACAGTCTTCCTGTCTTCCTGCTGGGTTTCTTCACATGGCCAGACCGTCAGCACATGGCTCCCTCTCAAGGGTCCCAGATTTGCAGCCCCAGATTATCTCTCACCATTAAAACTGTGATTCTCAACCTTGGATGCATGTTAGAATCACCAGGGTTTTAAAAACCTGGTACTAGTGCTTCATAATAGACCAATAAAATTAAAAATCTTTGGGAATAGGACTCAGGTATTATTGTTATTTTTAAAGCTTTGTAGATGATTCCAAGTGTGTGACCGAGGTTGAAAAAACACTTTGTGCTAAAATGCAGGTGTAAGGATAGTGCAGTAGATAGGAGAAATAAACTCCTAATGCAGTTACAATTGATGATTCTATTTTATTATAGAGTAGCAATGTGACAAAACTGTACAATGTTCAGCTTGTCTTTCCTTTCCCCATTATATTTGTAGCATCTTCCTTATTTATTAAAAGATTTTTTATTTACTTGAGAGTGAGAGTGAGTGAGCTTTGGAGGTGGGGGGGAGAGAGAGAGAGAGAGAGAGAGAGAGAGAGAGAGAGAGTGAGTGAGTCTGGAGCAGATTGCAACGCAAAGCCCCCAACAATGGGGCTTGACACCATGACCCCAAGATCACTTCCTGAGCTGAAATCAGAGTGAGGAGCTACCCAGTGATCCCCTGATTTAATTTTAAATGAATACATGGAGACTCATTAAAATATAGTAGATATGTTATTTTTCTTTTTTCTTTTTTTTTTTTAAAGATTTTATTTATTTATTCATGAGAGACACACAGAGAGAGGCAGAGGGAGAAGCAGACTCCATGCAGGGAGCCTGATGTGGGAGTTGATCCCGTGGCTCCAGGATCATGCCTTGGGCCAAAGGCAGGTGCTAAACTGCTAAGTCATCCAGGGATCCCCTAGATATGTTATTTTTCTTTATCTTTTCATATTGATGATTTATTTCCATTGGTAGTGAATGTTCTCATCACTGCCTAAGCAACCTTGTTGGGTAAAAATTACTACCCTCATTTTGGAAATAAGGAAGTTATGGCTCAGAGAAGTTGAGTAGCTTCTTCAAAGTCCGAGAGCTGTTAAACAGCAGAGCAGATTAGAACTCTTATGTGTCTGTCTCCAAAGTTCATATTCTTTCTTTTATAAACTGCTTCCTTGAGCTGCTTTTGTGTTCAGCCCATTTGAATCCTGCTCAATGACCATAGAACTGCAGCACATTTCATAAGAGGGCACTATGCACGCGATAGACATACGGTAAATGTTGAATTTATTAAAAAGCTGAATGCTTAAAATGCAATGGCTTCCCATGGAACTTTTAAAAAATAGAACTGTAAGTAAAAGAAAATCTCTATGATTAGTGTGAAGAAAATAATGGATTGAATTAGTTTTAGCTATTCCTTAAACCAAACAATTTAGTAAGAGGGCATATGTTAGCAATTATTACTCAAATCTTTTTTTTTAAATTGAGATAAACTGACATAGTAGTTTTGAATATTGTACAACATCCAAATTCTGATAGTGGTTCCAGAATACAACCACAAGTTTTCATGGTTATTTGGTACTATATTTAGTGTTCTCTTTTTTTTTTGTGTAGTTATAGGGAATGCTTTAGGGTAGCCAGAGAGGCTATCCTAAATACCTGTGTTCATAACCACATGCACCTAAAGTACCCCATCAAAGAAAAAAAAATCCCTATTTGCTCTGAAATTGATGGGGAAAAATATATATATTTCATAAAAAGTATTTGGACCTTTGCTGAGCATCTTCTGGGAAACTCAATTAGTTTGGTTTGACTTTAGTAGATTAAACCTTTATGTTCATTTTTGTCACCTACTCTACTATGGTATTTCTTACCTTTTGAAACTGAGAAACTTGCTTTTGGTTGAAAAATTGCGATATTTTGGATTGGCTTTACTTATGTGTGCATTCCATTGATTTCATTCTCTTGAATATCTTCCATTTTGTTTGAGAGTTGGGACAAATTGAGCCTAGGGGTTAGAGAACTCAGATGTTAGGGAAAAACAACAAAATACTCCTTGTTAAGCTACTCTTCAGAAACTGTGTTTTATTATTTTTGTTTATATTTTTCCTTCCTTTCCTGCATGTTCTCATTGGCTTGGATGTTCTCAGTGTAAATCTTTGTGTTCAGATTTCCCTGTCTCCTTATTTAGGTCATCAGACCTTTTTTAGAAAATTGGATTCAGTTTATTTGAAGAGGCTCTCCTACAAAATGTACATGTACACATGCATACACACATGCATGAGTGAACACACGATTCCTCACCTTTTAAATGGAAATAATTATTCTTGGTAAAGGCTGTAAATTTGTCAGGGTACAATGTACAGAATACTGACAGATTCTTGGTTGATGCTTGATGCCTTCGCCTTTTATGGGTAAAGAAAATGAAACTGAAAAAGTCGTGCCCGTGAAGCCCACTCAGCAGCTCGGCGGAGACTTGCACCCACTGTTTCTGAGGCTGAACGTTACATTTGCTGCTGGGTGCTCTGGCTCAGGCAGGATATGTTTGATGAGATGCTTTGGAGATGTGTGGGGGTTCTTTTGGTTGTTTTTTTTTGTTTTTAAACGCACAGCTTGCTGAGTTCTAACTGATGTTTAAACTTGCAAATGTAGTAGACAGGAGATGAAAAAAAGACTACATATATGTTTCTATAAGAATTCATGTAGACTTCTTTTTACTATTGAGAAAATGTGCTGGTGTGAGTGATAAGACCATATGCCAAAATGAGAGTGGATCTCTGTCATCGGTGGTGTAGAACTAATATATGCCTTTTTCTCCTCCCCTTTCATTAGGGCAGAGCTTGGGATATGGCTTTGTGAACTACATTGACCCTAAGGATGCAGAGAAAGCTATCAACACCCTGAATGGATTGAGACTTCAAACCAAAACAATAAAAGTATGTCTTAAATTTTTTTATATCTACTTGCAAAACAGAGATTCAAAACAATTCAGGTCGTCTTGTAGTTCTTTTCCTTTGTTTCATGCTCAAGTAGACACTTCTCTGAGAGACCTAGCAGAATTTTTTGTTACATGTTGGAAAATGTTCAGGAGTACTTTATCTAATCACTCCTATATCAATAAAGGAACAGTAGCAACTCCTTTAGCTAAGTACTTTTTGAAGTCTGCTGAATTAAATCTCCTTCCTTTATAGTCAGTACTTCACATATAACTTGAGAAAACCTCTGACCAGTTCTTTGAGCTTAGGGCTTGGCTGAGTTGTTCTGTGAAAGACCAGGTAATAAATAATGTTAGGCTTTGTGGGCCATGCAGTCTGTGTCACAACTTCTCAACTCTGCCCTTGCAGGTTGAAGCTTCCATAGACAATAATGACATGAATGAATCGGCATGACTGTGATTTTAGAAAACTTTATTTATGGAAGCTGAAACTTGAATTTCATAGAATGTTCACGTGTTGCAAAATAGTCTTTTTTTCTTTGTCCCAGTCATTTAAAAATGTAAAAATCATTCTTAGCTCAGAGATCATAAAAAAACCGACAAGTTGGATGTGGTCCATGGGCTCTGTTCTGACTCTGCTCTAACTCTGAGGAGACTGATTGGACATGCTTAGATGTCACACATGTTATTTTTCCTGTTATACTTTTCAAGGCAATTGGTCAGTAATTTGTGGATATTTTCTGGCTTTTGTGAATTTTCAAAATGCCAACATAAAAGTTAATATAATTTGCAGTATAGATTTCCTTTCCTTTAGAAAATAAAAGGTTGAGGGTGGGGGCGGGGGCGGTGTGTCTGGGTGGCTCAATTGGTTAAGCGTCTGCTTTTGGCTGGTACTGGGATTGAGCCCTGTGTCAGCCTTCCTGCTCAGCGAGGAATTTGCTTCTCCGTCTGCCCTTGCCCCTGCCCCGTACTCATGCTCTCTCTCTTTTTCTATCAAATAAATAAAATCTTAAAAAAAAAAAAAAAAAAGAATTTGCTTCTGGCAAATGCTTAGTGCACATGCCATCAATTTTGCCTCTCCTGCCCAGTGCAGACATTGCCAATCAATCATGGCAGTCTTTCTCAGTTAGTCTAGATGTAGCACCCAAATATTTTTCAAAATAGTGTTCCAGACAACCTCTATCAATTGACTCAAGCTGGAACCTATTTTCCACCCTTGATTTAAGAAGTTGGCTCACACTATAGCCTGAAGTGGTAAGGGGAAGCTAGTCAAGGCTGACTATGGCATCCATCTTGCTTAGAGACTCGTCTAGAAGATTTCTGTTCATTTTTTCAGAAGTCTGGAAATGCAGTGTCATCTTTGTGCTTAAACGTTGCTTCTCTCAGAATTGTCAGCTTAAGGTAATTCATTAGCTCTGGGTAGTTTTGACATCTCATTCTTTATATTTATTGGCCCATAGGAAAAATGCCTCCTAGTTCTGTCTCATTTAAAGGGAACTGTATGAGGAGCTCCCAGATATATTTGGATGTAAGATGTCCAAGAATTCTACATGTTTCTTGAGTAAGGAAATGTCTTTTGAAAATATTAACCCTTCAGCCAGAAAAAGAGCTGGTTGTTACGCTACCAGAATTTGAGGGAAAAAATTAGATTTCTTATAGTCTATAAGCACAAAGACTTATGATTGATACTTGTTTTTTAATCTGGATTGCTTTTTTCAATTTCCATACTTATCTGCACACTTTTTGTCACAAAGGTTAACTTTTTACTAGTAATATTAAGCACTATTACTATTAAGTAATCATCAAATGCTACTAAAAAAGACTTCTAATACCCAGTCACCTTCAGATTGTTTTGTGTGTTCTCTGTCCTACTGAAGATTTTTGTAGGCCTACCCATGTTAGATTTATTTTCAGAATTGCTGCTAATTTATCTTTGTGCTGAGGTCCTGAGCTGTGGTTAAGAAGAAATTGGAGTAGATCGCTCAAACCAGAGCATACTCTTCTCCATTCTAGAAAAAGTCACCCATACCTCATTCTAGGGAATTCCGTTCTTTTGCTGAGTTCTTTTGCAATAATGTCTACAAGAAGGGAGAAATGCAGGGGAAACGGGTTGCCAGAGAATGAATTTCCATGGCCTGCGAGGAGACCATTGATGACAGCTGCTTCCTCTTTGCCCATTGCCCGGCTTTCTCTTCAGGGCCCAGCTGCTCGGGCAGCATATGTAGAAGAAAGGACAGTAATGCCTTGTGGCTTTTAAACTGTGACATCTGCTACTTCTCTTCTGATTTTCTGAAATGGGGGTGGGAGTGGTGGGGAAGCAGCAGGCTACTTCTTTCCCCGCCCCCATTTGGTTCCTGTAAAAATATCAGATAACAGCTGGTATCCTCAATTTGGCCCAGATTTCTCTGAGAGGCAAAGCGGACCATTTTCCAAAACTACAGAGCACCATTTTTGTCTGTTTGTTCTTTGTGTGGTTTTTCTTTCTTATTTTCAGTGAGACATGTTTTATGTTCTTAGACAACATCTTGAGCCAGTTTTTTCCTCATGTTGGCTGCTTCAAGTACCTTTTGGAAGCTGCGTTTAAACCATTCCATTCCTTGGGATACTATTCCGTAAATGAGCCTTTTTATCCTTCTTGCAGTCCATCCTGGTGGTTGTTGTCGGGCTAAACTTACTTACCTCATGTTACTTCTCACTCAGACGTCTCTTATTTTTCCCTACTCCTATACCATGTCATTTGACTTAACTTTGGAGTTGACCCAGCATTATCACTGCTTTCTGTGGTGGTCAGATGGGCTCTTTACTGGCAGGCTGATCTTCTCAGTCTCTTTCACGCTGCTTTAGTTGAATAGCAGCCTCTCCCCATCTGTGGGAGCCCATCTGAAGTTCTTCCTTCAGCCTCTGCCTGGCTGGGCTCTGCCCCCAATAAAAGAGTTGAGACCTTAGTCCGAAAAGAGTTTGACTAAGACCAGGCCCTTAAAGACAAAACTTGTATATTTAATATGTCCGAACTCTTTCCCTTTAGAAAGCTGTGGTAGACTAATTAATACATACATCATATACAAGTATACAACTGTTTGTGTTCTTTTCGTCTTCCAAGCCATCTAGCATTTAGTGTGCATATGGTGGAATTCTTAGTAATTGGAATATTGAAACAGTGAATCAAGTGCTGTGAAAGGTGGTTTATTTAGCAGTTTCTCCTGGGGCTTCCTAATAGCATTAGCCCAGTATGGTTTTGTGCAGTAGATGGAGAGTGTGTTGAATAATGACAAATATTCAGTATTTTTGCAATGAGTGAAGCAGAGTCCCTCAGGCACTGAGAAATTTTTAAGGCATTTATTCCTAAACTCGGTTTCATCGGATTTAGCAGAAGTGAGAAATGCAGGTTCTGGGGCCCACTTCAGAACTGCTGGGTTAGTGTCCAGAGGTGAGATGCAGGAATCTGCCTTTTATATGCTTTGTGATTAGTAACAGCAAGTCTGAGGCCTAGCATTACGAACCACCAAAATGTACCTTTTCTCAATAGGTGGGTTCTCTATTTGGTATTTTTGCATGCAAAGTTAAGTTTGTTTCCATTCTTTACCTTGATAATCTTCTTGTGGGTAATTCTCCTGAGCGTGCTGAATGATAGTTCAGCATTCAGAGTAAAAAGTAGTTCACACCATCTTCACTTTTTAAAAAGTATGGTTTAGGAATTAGAAAAACTTTAATACATTCACCTTATGTTAGAACTGTATTTATTATAAATAGCACCATTCATAGGTGTAAGTTTCAAAGTGATTAGTCTCTTCTCCTAAGGATCAGTATTTTCCTGATTGGGTCAGTGTTTTGGCAGCTTACCTTGCTGGTGATGACACCATTTCTGAGCTACCTGGGAGTCAGTCATGATAAAGCCAGCCCACATTGTCCCTGATACTGAGATGGTAAATTAAGTGTGAAGAATTAAAAATGTTTTTAACATCTTATATTAGGAAGGATAGTGAAAAGATAGTTTGTGCATAGTTCAGGTGTGGATGGTGGGAATCTTCTCAGACCACTGTCAAAAATTGTATACGGGGTAATCTCATCAAGAACCCTCATCCTCATGGGAACCCTTCGTTCTCAGGACCATTTGGCATCTTAGTGGTTGTGGTCACTGTGTTCAGTCCTGATGTTCTTTTTCTGTTTTGTTTTTAGGGGGTCTCAAGTACTTATAAAATCTAAATCAGTATATGAAACATTTATGGCTTCAAGCCAATACTCCTCTCTCCCAAGGGAAAATGCTTTTTTTTTTTTTTTTTTGCCTAGGTTAATGATTATCAGACTTAAATCCATAATTAGTGGAGTAAAATACTGAATATTCCTTAAAAAATCTTATACATCAAGTACTGTGAATAGGTGATGGAGATTTTTTCCTCCCAGCATCACTCCCAACTTCTGCCTCTCCTGCAAGGGATGTAGGAAAGTGGGAGTTTTTATCTCAGGAATAGAAATTCATGGCTTCTCTGCCCTACTGAAGAAAAATCCCTATTTTTTGGAATTATTGGGAAATATTACCAGCATGGAAAAACTGTCTTAATTTGGTTTTGACTAAAAAGATTCTTAATCATTCATACATAAACCAGCCTAAATTTCACCTTTGCTTAAAAGCTATTTTTAATTGATACACATTAATGTGAAATTTCTTATATTAAAATAACCAAACCACCATTTAAGGTAATAAGGAGAAACTGTTAAAGAAATTGGATTACTAAATATGGATGGTATCTATTTCTTAAAGTGTTCAGCTAAAGAACAAATAAGATAATAAACTTTTATTCTGAGCCATGTTGCTTTAAATTGTTACATTTATATCTTTTCCTAACCTATCCTTTTTCTAGTGACTGTGGTATTCACAGACTTCTTTTGTACTTGTTTGGCATGAACTATATCCTTAATATAAGAGAAACATAGAACTACATTTCAGAAATTTTAGTCTTCCTGACATTGATAAAGTGACTTTACTGGCTGTGTGCTCTTGGA